GAATGAATTAGAGGCTCCGCAGATTCCAAAGAGAAAGCTACTCTAATAGCGCACAATCAGGTCATAGAATCTGAGTTTTGAGCGGTTTACTCACTATAGAATCACAAGACATTTCACCTCACCAATTCAAATCACCTCCACTCGAAGTCCACTTGTCTCCCGCTTATGTGGAATTTCTCAGCAAGGGCCCTGTGAATCTTGTTTCTTTCAGTATAATGTGGCTGCTAGATTATCGCGTTGAATATGCCGGGAATCATCCATGAGCTGTTTGGAACACTATCTCGGCGAGCAGAAAAGCGGTGAGTGATCGCTCACCGTGAGCCGCGTGGTAACCCCTCCCCTCTCCCAAATACATTAGCGCCAGGAACTGAAAAATGAAGCGGGACATCAAAATTGCAGAAAAGAATAATGATTAGACAAAACTGTGGGGAGACCACGCCGCAGAAAGTGTCCCCCTGCTATGGATTGATGGCTTGTTTCGAAAGCTATCTCGGCACGGAGAGAGCAGAAGAGCAGTATGCGGCGTGGTCTCTCCCCCACCCGACAACGTTAACGGCAGGAACTGAAACATGAAGCAAAACATCATAATCACAGGAAAGGAATAATGACTAGACACCCGATTACGTAGACATCGACAGGGTATGAAACGATTACACCACGCTGCATTACACGCCGATCATGATGGAAAACCCTGGATTGCCTGGTGACTGGGAACCGTGAAGGAAGTACGGACTATAATGATGTGTGGCGTATGATTGCTCAAACGTGATGCATGATGTTCTCCTTGGCGCTCTACGTCTAGGGTGGGACTTTTCTGAAACGTATTGTATGTTGAAGTGACTTTCACATCTCCACATGGTTGGGACGACGCTAGTTCCCATTTCTGAATAGTTCCCATTTCTGAATTCTGACACATAATTATAGAGCAGAACAGTTAATAGAGGGCAGCGAGAACCACAACTGCATGAAGTGGTCTCTCACGAGTCTTTCCCTGCCGATTTCATCACTATCGGCGTGCAATGTGACGTAATATCTGCATGAACATTTAATTTACGGCACTTTTGGATACGGTAGTGGTTCGATATACGATTGAAGGCGCTGAGTGTATGGGACCCGACGTGATTCGTCTGTAAAGAACAAAATATCGCACTTGACAATAGGAGCAGCTACTACCACAAAAAAAGAAAGCTTTAAGGTCATACCTGACAGCTATGGAAGCGGATGAGGAGCTTGCGTGCCCCGTTGCGATGGGCAATCCCGACCCGCAAGTGGTGGAGAGGGTTACGAGGAGGGAGAGGGAGAGGGCATCGAGAAGAAAGGCTAAAGATAATGGAAGGTAAGAAATCGAACTTCGGGGAGTGAAAACCTCCATTTCTATCACTTCAGATTATGCTTTTTACTGGGTAAAGAGCTTCCTTCATCGCGACTGGAGAACCGGCAATGGTGTTCGTGCGGATCGTGTGTGACATTCACCACGATCCGCGAAAACGTATGCTGCCGTGAAGCTTTGGAGGAAGGCAGAGGCAACGAAGCCTTGAAAGGGTTGAGAGAGAAGCTGAAGGAGAGTGGGCAATGCATTGTCCACCACCCTTCATTCTACAAAGTAGCACAAGACCCTGAGGTAACGTTTCAGTTCTTCCGGTACGTCGCGTGAATTTTGTGCCTAATGCAGACGCTTCGCGTGTTACTTGTGAATCTGAGGGTGGAGAGGAAAAAGGAGAAGGATCCAGTTGAAGATGAGAACAGGCTAGTTCCTCTTCAAAAACTTCAACATTGTGTAACTCCTATTCAGGTGCCTGAGATATTGTGCCTACCGAGCTTTTGTAGCCTGGTGTTACGGGCACTTAGGCTTCAGCAAACGATACGAACTTCCGGCGTGCGCCAGAGGAG